TTACATAAAAGTAACAGATGTCATACTATTAAGCTATTTCTTAAACTTACTATAGAACAGTAGTGCATTACAAATGAAATGTTATCCTTTCAGTCATGAGAACACAAAGCTCTTTCTACGTTCTCATAAACAACACCATTAAAAGCACATTACTTTGCATTAGTGAGAGTATTATTTGTCCCTAATGAGTAGTTAACAAATCATGCTTCCTCTTGGACTGAATATCAGGTCTTGGTGGGGCTGAGTTACAGCAGGATGACAGCTGTATTTCATAACAACCTGACCGTGTACAGTACTATAACACTGATTTAAATGCCTGTCTGAGCTGCCAATGCACACACGCGCCGCTTGTATCACTTTATTACACATCGTATCCATCTCCCACAACAGAGCAGGCTGCAGAATAAGCACTATAGCAGCTAAGTGGTGCTAAAGTTAAAAAGATGTTGATTTGTTGCCCGGCTGGCAGTTTGTGTCAGTAGGAGCAATAATGAATGAAAACTGTTTCAAATAGGAGATTAAGGGAGACAAGGAACTCATAAAGTTGCTGGAAAGAAGTTGAGTTCAACAAAGACAAAATGGTGAAATTGTCAAACTGGAGGCAGAGAGGGAGGAGGTGAGAGGCAAGCCGTGAATGCAAATGAGAATGGTGAGTATCACGGAAATGATTGCTGCTGCTATTACAATTATCATTAGCATGTGTTGTGTTGGCAATAAGTACTCTCATTATGGCAGATCCTATCATCCTGCTAATTGTGGAGGATGCGGTGTTTGAGCGAGCGGGGGGCCTGGTTACAACAGGGAGGCTCCTCTGCCAGGATTACACTGACAAATACAGACAGGAGAAAAATGCTGAACAATATTTGATAGATTTGGTTAGAATTCTTCTGCAGATAATTATATATACAAAAGAGAGAGTAAAGGTTTATTCACTATTTGTTGCTGCACTTGATTTGACCTAATTAGTAAATTATTATGACATGTGGTAATAATACATTCAAAATATCTACTTGAGATCCATAGCCTATTTAGCTTTCCATATGTAGGCAAGGGGATGGTATCAGCATAAATTTGCCCATGCTATTTTGTAAGTCCTTAAATTCAGAGATACTATTACATAGTCCAAAGGTCGAAAGACGAGTGAATTTTTTCTGCTGATCCCAAGGACAGATAAGATTGCTTCAAGAAGGGCATCCAACATAATATCTAAATCAAAAGACTCACCAAAAGACATACAAGTGTCAAACAAAGTTTGTTTAAATGTCTACATTTCATACAGTGTGTGGAAGCTGAAGGAAGAGTTGGGCCCTAGAGTTCTCTCTTCATCATGTGACAGTGCTGTCATGTGGAGGACAGGGAGAGAGCAGCAGCTTTTCTCCTGCACATTCTCTTCGTCTTCAGGCCTATCAATCTTCTGTGTGCGCAAAGTTTTGACTCTCCAACAGTCTTTTTGGCACTCGCAATCAATCAAGCTAACGATGCCATGAGTTATAGTTCACAAAGGCATATCAAAATCACAAAGCAGTGGAAATTTACAATGAAATAAGCAGCTAGTGTAGGAACTCAGCATTTCAGACACGTATTCCCACTGCATTATCAAGGTATGTGTTTAACACTTTAGTTATGTATATTTGTCCTTACTTACATTGACTTTTTGACATTTAAAATTTTAAATATATCTATATTTTTGTATAAAACACATCTAAGTGGTGGTGATAGTTTTGAGAGTCTATACATAAACAGATGCACCTTCTGATCAGAGCCTGTGGCAGTGTCAAGGTGTCTATTGGATCACAACTCACTTCGTTTCCCACATGCAGCTCCTGTTCATCTCAACACCTTTACTTGCCTTGCATGTCAATACCTGCTACAGCAGGGGTCTCCAACCTATAGCTCAGGAGCCACCAGTAGCTCTCCACCTTCTTCCAAGTAACTTGCCAAAGAATTTCTGAATTATAATTAACTAAAATTAGATGAACAGAATGAAAAAAGGTTGGAGATCCCTGTGCTACAGTGTGTTTGAATGCAGGAGGGTCCGGAACCACATCAGATAGCCGTACTTATTTGGTACATTCACAGCCTATTTATAGTATGTGTCTCCCAAAGGTGCATTATCATTCAGAACGAAATATAAACCATGTTTTTCTTGACACAAACAAACCATACATGTCTTTGATTGGTTAATACCCCTGCCAATCGCCTCCCTTCATTAGCACTACTTTAATCACTTTTGCTCTGTGGTTGGCTATGCCTTGTTGTTGATAGCAGTAGGCTATGTAAGTACATTTTCTCTCACACAATCAGTGCATTCAAAGCACTTTTTTCTCAAGATACCTTTACTCAATTGGTGAATATATCTTTGAAGTGTACCTTGTCAGATGAGTAAATCAAGCTCTACACGGTGAGTTCAGATGTCACTAGGAGTTGTGGAATGGTGCAGCGGGAGATGAGATGTTAGAAAGCACGGGAGTGTGGGCAGGTGTTAGAACAAAGTGTGGCTCTGCTCTCACTGTTTGGTTAGTGCCATGTGCAGTTATGATATGAGTGGGCAGTTGTCTCCCTGAACAAGAACCAACTCAAAAATCAGGGAGAGAGTTTAGATTCAGGAAGGCAAAAATGTTAAAATAAGTGAGTCAAACAAAATGTTACTTACATTTAGAGCAGTACTATATCGATAAACACTTAAAAAAAAAAAAACAAAAAAAAAAAACACTTTAATTCCTTTACTGACCCCTTGTGGCTGGAGGTAGAATTCATTGATCCAATTAAATGCACTATAGTAATGGAGTTATATACATTCAAGAATCTACAATGTTTTTTGGTTTGTTTGTTTGTTTGTTTGTTTCCTCACAAGCAGCCATGTTTGTTTTAATATGACTGGACAATGCATGTCCCAGATTGGCTAATCCATCTGTCAATCACACCAATCTGAATTTGGGGAGATAATACTTGTGCCCAGGTTACATCTCTTTGAAAAGTGTTGGAGAAGCATACTCTTGGCTGGCCTGGCAAACCGCACACTGCTGTGTCCCTATTTGAGACCCACAGGACAACACTTCTCCTGATGCAATATCTGGGCTGCACATCACACAACAGCCAGCCTAATGAAAGCCCAGCGAGTAATTGTGGAACTAAAGCCCCTCCATTTCTCATTTTCCTCCTTCCAATCTAACCGCAATCAAGTAAATCTCAGGCGGCAAAGGGCGGGTGTGCACCAGGAAATACGGCGCCCCTTCTAATTAAGTCTTCAGGTTCTCACACACTTTTATTGTGCTGCTCGGACCACACAGAGCCAGCAGTGATAATTAAAGCCAAGCCCTCTTCTATGGATGTGTTTTACCCCATGATTTAATTACCTTTATTAATCAGAGACAAGATGCTGGTTTAAAAAAAAAAAAAAAAAAAAGAGAGAGAGAGAGAAAAGAGAAAGCAGTGGATCAGCTTGTTGTTCTCAGCTCCCAGGGGCACTAATATTGTAAAGATAATGATGAATTATGAGATTTCCTCAAGATAAACCTTTTGTAGGCTCTTATTCAAAGTGATGACAGAAGATGCTTTGTTTGGAGGCTGTTGTTGCTGATGCGTTCAGTGGCCTTTCACACTATATTAGTTTTATTTCATTTCAAGTGAAAGGAGACATAAGGAACATGTCATGTGGCTGACGACTCTGAATTATTATTGGGCATAACATAAAATTGAGTAATAATAAATAATAATAATAATAAATATAGCCTCAAGTGCCAGTGAACAGCCTTCACTGCATTGTGCAATGTAAGGGTGGGGGGGCTATTGTAATGCTTTATATTGTAATAATTGTATGGTGTTATCACCCCTTCTCTGTTTGCATTTTTGAGTCAAATCCCACACAGGAAATGACACTGTTTGCCAAATGTGGGCTTTCAGTATGCTCAATTGTCAAATGTATGGACTGACAGGATACCAGAAAATAGGTCTTCTCGTAATGTACCCTGGATAGTTTGTTGATCAAGCCTACTTAAGTTGTTGGCCAGAAAGATCTGGTTTTGTCAATGTCAAGCCCCTCCCCTGTGTGTTACCATGGAGCTCATGATGAAAGAGAAGTTCTTGTGCATTCCAACATGATGATGAAGGTCCCTGGTCACTGACAGATATGTAAGTGAAATATTTGTTTTGTGCACATACTTTGTGGACACTTTTGCATGGACTTTGACTATTTACCATTATAATGTTATAATGATTTGCGCACTACCAATCTGTCTGCACGAGTATGGAGTGTATGGAGGATGAGCACTCTGCATTCTTTTCATTTGAGTTTGCTCATACACAGCAGAAGTATACACAGGTTTTGATACAATAAATACAATTAGTGCAATTAATTAATGTCTTTATATGTATTTATTAGTAATATGTACATTTCCTGTCTAGATCTTACCCCCTTTCACCTAAGTTTGCATCTCATTCAATCACCCTCAGA